GTCTTCCTTGCGTTCAATGTTCCTTTCTGGTAGAGCATATGCACCTTTAGACGACATGTTGACACAAATTATCAGTCAACAATACAATTATTCACAAAATATGTCAATGTCCCATTCAAAATGTCTGCATAAAACTTTCAAACTTGTGCGCGGCGAGGCGAATTTAAACTGGAAACGTGCTTGCCACTTTGTAAACAAACCTCTTGCCGTCACTTCCGGTCAAAGGAACGAAATTCACGTGCGAAGTGTGAAGATACAGAGGATATTCAACAATTCACTAAAAAGTCACTTTAAGTCAATATTCCACAGCAATATCCTTTCTTCATTCAAAAATAATCAACTGTCATTATAATATCCGAAGTTAGAATGCGAAATATCAAACTTAGCTGAATATCACGTGCACTGTCAAACTGCATGTGTAGTCCACGCTCGCTGTCCAGGTTTTTCAACTTTGTCACCGCTGCAAATGTCTGTACATATATTAACAACTCCCACGGTTCCAACACAGCAAACTTTTATTCTGTGTTTTTATCTGTGTACACTGTTTTCTGTTACTTCTGCTGCTGCTGGTTGAAAACCGTATTGCAACACTGAACTCCACACTGAAACTGTACATTGCATGCTTCTGTTCCCAAGTTATCTCCCCTTTTTACAGTCATGTGACTTACCCTAGATCACATGATCTCAATCTAAATATAGCTCAAGCATTTGACCGCAACACAATATGTATATTACAGTTGTTTACGTGTCTCAAAATCTATGGGTACAACTGTTTGTTACAATGTGTATATAACAGTTGTATACGTGTCACGGAATCTGTGGGTACAACTGATTGTTACAATATGTATATTACAGTTGTATAAGTGTCACGGAATCTATGGGTACAACTGATTGTTACAATATGTATATTACAGTTGTATACGTGTCGCGGAATCTTTGGGTACAACTGATTGTTACAATATGTATATTACACTTGTTTACGTGTCACGGAATCTATGAGTAAAACTGATTGTTACAACGTGTATATTACAGTTGTATATGTGTCATGGAATCTATGGGTACAACTGATTGTTACAATGTGTATATTACAGTTGTATACGTGCCTCGGAATCTATGGTACAACTGATTGTTACAATATGTATATTACAGTTGTATACGTGTCACGGAATGTATGGGTACAACTGATTGTTACATTATGTATATTACAGTTGTGTATGTGTCACGGAATCTATGGGTACAACTGATTGTTACAATATGTATATTACAGTTGTTTACGAGTCGCGGAATGTATGGGTACAACTGATTGTTTACAATATGTATATTACAGTTGTTTACGTGTCGCGGAATGTATGGGTACAACTGGTTGTTACAATATGTATATTACAGTTGTTTATGTGTCGCGGAATCTATGGGTACAACTGAATGTTACAATATGTATATTACAGTTGTATACGTGTCACAGAATCTATGAGTAAAACTGATTGTTACAATATGTATATTACAGTTGTTTACGTGTCACGGAATCTATGGGTACAACTGATTGTTACAATATGTATATTACAGTTGTGTACGTGTCACGGAATGTATGAGTAAAACTGATTGTTACAACGTGTATATTACAGTTGTATATGTGTCATGGAATCTATGGGTACAACTGATTGTTACAATGTGTATATTACAGTTGTATACGTGTCACGGAATCTATGAGTAAAACTGATTGTTACAATATGTATATTACAGTTGTTTACGTGTCACGGAATCTATGGGTACAACTGATTGTTACAATATGTATATTACAGTTGTGTACGTGTCACGGAATGTATGAGTAAAACTGATTGTTAGAACGTGTATATTACAGTTGTATATGTGTTATGGAATCTATGGGTACAACTGATTGTTACAATGTGTATATTACAGTTGTATACGTGTCACGGAATCTATGAGTAAAACTGATTGTTACAACGTGTATATTACAGTTGTATATGTGTCATGCAATCTTTTGGGTACAACTGATTGTTACAATATGTATATTACAGCTGTGTACGTGTCACGAAATCTATGAGTAAAACTGATTGTTACAACGTGTATATTACAGTTGTATATGCGTCATGGAATCTATGGGTACAACTGATTGTTACAATATGTATATTGCAGTTGTATACGTGTCACGGAATGTATGGGTACAACTGATTGTTACAATATATATATTACAGTTGTGTACGTGTCACGGAATCTATGGGTACAACTGATGTTACACATGTATATTACAGTTGTTTACGTGTCGCGGAATGTATGGGTACAACTGATTGTTACAATGTGTATATTACAGTTGTTTATGTGTCAGGGGGAATCTATGGGTACAACTGAATGTTACAATATGTATATTACAGTTGTATACGTGTCACGGAATCTAGGGGTAGAAGTGGTTGTTACAATATGTATATTACAGTTGTTTATGTGTCACGGAATCTATGGGTGAAACCGATTGCTACAATATGTATATTACAGTTGTTTACGTGTCACGGAATCTATGGGTACACCTGATTGTTACAATATGTATATTACAGTTGTATACGTGTCGGGAAATCTAGGGGTACAACTGATTGTTACAATTTGTATATTACAGTTGTATACGTGTCGCGGAATCTATGGGTACACCTGATTGTTACAATATGTATATTACAGTTGTATACGTGTCGCGAAATGTATGGGTACAACTGATTGTTACAATATGTATGTTACAGTTGTATACGTCTCACGGAATCTATTGGTACAACTGAATGTTACAATATGTATATTACAGTTGTATACGTGTCACGGAATCTATGGGTACAACTGATTGTTACAATATGTATATTACAGTTATTTACGTGTCACGAAATCTATGGGTACACCTGATTGTTACAATATGTATATTACAGTTGTATACGTGTCGCGGAATCTATGGGTACAACTGATTGTTACAATATGTATATTACAGTTATATACGTGTCACGGAATCTATGAGTAAAATTGATTGTTACAATATGTATATTACAGTTGTATACGTGTCGCGGAATCTATGGGTACAACTGGTTTTTACAATGTGTATGTTACAGTTGTATACGTCTCACGGAATCTATGGGTACAACTGATTGTTACAATATGTATATATTACAGTTGTATACGTGTCACGGAATCTATGAGTAAAATTGATTGTTACAATATGTATATTACAGTTGTATACGTGTCGCGAAATCTAGGGGTACAACTGATTGTTACAATATGTATGTTACAGTTGTATACGTCTCACGGAATCTATGGGTACAACTGATTGTTACAATATGTATATTACAGTTATTTACGTGTCACGAAATCTATGGTTACACCTGATTGTTACAATATGTATATTACAGTTGTATACGTGTCGCGAAATCTAGGGTACAACTGATTGTTACAATATGTATATAACAGTTGTATACGTGTCGCGAAATCTATGGGTACAAGTGATTGTTACAATATGTATGTTACAGTTGTATACGTCTCACGGAATCTATGGGTACAACTGATTGTTACAATATGTATATTACAGTTGTATACGTGTCACGGAATCTATGGGTAGAACTGATTGTTACAATATGTATATTACAGTTGTATACGTGTCACGGAATCTATGAGTACAACTGATTGTTACAATATGTATATTACAGTTATTTACGTGTCACGAAATCTATGGGCACACCTGATTGTTACAATATGTATATTACAGTTGTATACGTGTCGCGGAATCTATGGGTACAACTGATTGTTACAATATGTATATTACAGTTATATACGTGTCACGGAATCTATGGAGTAAAATTGATTGTTACAATATGTATATTACAGTTGTATACGTCTCGCGGAATCTATGGGTACAACTGATTGTTACAATGTGTATGTTACAGTTGTATACGTCTCACGGAATCTATGGGTACAACTGATTGTTACAATATGTATATTACAGTTGTATACGTGTCACGGAATCTATGAGTAAAATTGATTGTTACAATATGTATATTACAGTTGTATACGTGTCGCGAAATCTAGGGTACAAGTGATTGTTACAATATGTATGTTACAGTTGTATACGTCTCACGGAATCTATGGGTACAACTGATTGTTACAATATGTATATTACAGTTATTTACGTGTCACGAAATCTATGGTTACACCTGATTGTTACAATATGTATATTACAGTTGTATACGTGTCGCGAAATCTAGGGGTACAACTGATTGTTACAATATGTATATAACAGTTGTATACGTGTCGCGAAATCTATGGGTACAAGTGATTGTTACAATATGTATGTTACAGTTGTATACGTCTCACGGAATCTATGGGTACAACTGATTGTTACAATATGTATATTACAGTTGTATACGTGTCACGGAATCTATGGGTAGAACTGATTGTTACAATATGTATATTACAGTTGTATACGTGTCACGGAATCTATGAGTACAACTGATTGTTACAATATGTATATTACAGTTGTATACGTGTCACGGAATCTATGAGTACAACTGATTGTTACAATATGTATATTACAGTTGTATACGTGTCGCGGAATCTATGGGTACGAGTGATTGTTACAATGTGTATATTACAGTTGTATACGTGTCGCGGAATCAATGAGTACAAGTGGTTGTTACAATATGTATATTACAGTTGTATACGTGTCACGGAATCTATGGGTACGAGTGATTGTTGCAATGTGTATATTACAGTTGTATACGTGTCGCGGAATCTATGAGTACAAGTGGTTGTTACAATATGTATATTACAGTTGTATACGTGTCACGGAATCTATGGGTACAAGTGGTTTGTTACAATGTGTATATTACAGTTATACCATCAGGGTGTGGTCATGTTATCAACATCCACAAATAGCTACCTCTGGCTAGTCTAAACCACCACACACCGTACACTAGACAAATCATCGTTCCGTACAGATGTACGTACAGTGTACACCTTACCTGAGTAAGATGGTACAGATGGTTTGAACACAGAGAGGGGCGAGAGCAACCTTCACCTGTCGGATACCTGTAATCCTAGTTTCTTGGTTTGACCCGACTTCCGTTTAATCAGTGTATTTTACGTGCACTTTATTTTAATATCAAACGGAGGACAACTCTGTGATTAACGTATTGTAAGACCAGAATAAATAACACTCACCCCCACCCTCCCCCATACAGTCTAACGTCAGAAGGACGTTGTTATCATCCAGTAACAGTATTTAAATCTACATGTTATCAACGCTGTATTCAATAGAAGCCTATCTACATTGGAGGTAGATGTCTCACCTCTGTAACAATGTCTCTCATATATACGTTTCACAATTTTGATTAAAAAGAAACTTTCAGCAATCGTCAGCAAGAGATGTCTCATTTCCAAAACAAAGTTGATCTTGAATCCGAAGACTGGAAGATCATTCATCCCCAGAAGAGTTACACTGCATCATGTAAATAGCTGGAAAATAATGCAGGAATGAAGCACTGATTTTATTCAGGGTATACGAAAGGAAAGGCTGTATCCCTCCTCTGCCAGTGTTGGAGATCACCATGTACAGGTTGTTTATACTAGAAATCCAATTAAACATATTCCTAAAATTCTCAATAATTTCTGGTCATACGATAACACTCACCCCCACCCCTCTCCCATACAGTCTAACGTCAGTAGAACGTTGTTGTCATCCACAGTAACAGTATTTAAATCTACATGTTATCAACGCTGTATTCAATAGAAGCCTATCTACATTGGAGGTAGATGTCTACCTCTGTAACAATGTCTCTCATATATACGTTTCAACAATTTTGATTAAAAAGAAACTTTCAGCAATCGTCAGCAAGAGATGTTCAT